GCCCCTGCACATAACGCCCTGTATGTCGGCAGGTAAGCCCAAACCAACGTGAATGGCTCTTGATCAACGCAGAAAACCCCGGCAGTTTAACACCTGGGCTTCGACTATAGCACATAAAACCTTTAGGTGGGATGGAAAGAATCCGTGGAGGCCTCCGGTCGATGAAAGTGCCCCAGTATGCCAGCAGAATACCAGGATGTCAGTATGCTAGTAGTAAGCCTTGAAATCCCTCAGTCACTACCATCTCAATCAGCGAAGGATTATTTTTGTCTGCTCGTGGGTCCTTCACTTTCGCTTCCTACTATTCTTGGCCGCCCGTATCAGTATCAGTATCAGTAAATTGGAAACCATCCACATGGCGGCTATTACGGTTTCAGGTCACACAGGTGTAGTATGAAAAGGCACACACGAAAACTACATAATGAAATGTAGGAGCAATGGTCAAAGAGCTAAACAGGGCCCTCATTGCACTACGGGCCACATCAGATCGGTCGTCAGTGGTCAAAATCACATCGCGTACATATGGCGGTCTTAAACATGCTCAGTGTTGTGACGTGACGGACGGACGATGGCACGCGGTTCCAGGCAGCTGCGGCTCGATATGAAAACACTGTGTGAAAACGCCCGGAAGACGTCCGATTAAAAAACTGCGTCTGTTCGACCGGTTTTGCAGAGCACTTCCTTTCAAGGGAGCGTTGCGCATTTGTATAGGGTATTGAACTGAAACAAACATATTGATGATCATTTGGTGCAGTTCACAGCCCTGTTCTTCTTAAGACCTGCAACTCTCTAGTTTCTGAGTTGCATGCCCGCAAAGATGTGCAGACTTGGAATGCTATATGGGATACTATTTTAACATCACGTAGGCATACACGGCGCCGTCATAACGTCGTTAAAATACTATCAATCCGTTAGCCAGGCAGCGATTAAGGCAAATAAATATGAAGTGGACGCGTCGTTCACATCTGGCGTTCGTGAGCACAATTTCCACACAAATCTGGCTGCCAATTGGATCTCAATCAATGTTGTGCATGGTACAATGACGTAATCAAGCAATGGCACGTTGAAGACCATACACACTAAACGAATGATTATTTTGTCTAGAGCAGTCTTTATCACGTTAAAGCACACCAGGCTACATCATATTTGATGTTGACCTCATCATCTTCGAATTTAGAGCATTCCTTTAAAGAGCGCTTTCCATTGATGTCATCGCTGATTACTTGGTCGGAGTACCCGCAGGGATGTCTTTTTAGACAACCGTAAATACTAAACGCACTACTTTTAAAGAAAATGTTCCTCATTTTGAGATAGTGAGCCACGCATTGAACATGATGAAAAAGAATCGCTTATAACTGCTGTTTTGCTTTTTCACATAGTGTTTCACATTTACATGGGATTTTGAGGTGAAATATAAATTTTTAAGATCAATCGGTGCGGTTCGTAGCCTTGCCCTTCTAAGACCCTAATCCGTCCAGTTTCTTAGCTACACCCCCGCAAAGACGTGCAAACTATTCAAGGCCATTCAGGCGAGCATTTCACCATAGCAACGCCATCCAAATCCTGCCAACTCACAGGCCAGGCGGCGTTCAAGACCAGGAAGAAAATTACCGTTGAGCCTGGCGTTACCGTTACGGTTACCGTTGACGCCAGGTCTGGCGTCAGTGAGCGTGATCTCAAAAAAAAAAAAATGGACGGCAATTGGCTCCCAAACAGTGTTGAGTAAGCATGCGAGTTTCAACATTTTGTACTACGTAACGTATATACGTATATACGTTTACATACGTACTACGTATACGTTGGACACGGTTTCTTCGCTGTAGTACAGCCGGTCTACCGCGTCACTTCCTACCAGCCCATAGGGTTCACGTGTTAAATGCCGAATTTTCTCAGATCTGTGCACTAGATTCTCTTCAGCCAATTTCGATCCACCCGGCACCAAACGGAACCAAAATTACGCTGGAGCCGCCCTACGCGACATGGACAGTCAGAAACAGGGGCTGGCCACTGTCGGCCGGGCACCAAAAGCCAGCAAACAACGTGAGATTTTAATATTAACAACTCCAGCTTCATATCATCCCCCTGCAGTCCACGAAGATGTTAGGAGGAAACTGGGATCATCTTTTGTCCTAGAAGCAGAGCATCCAAATTAGTCAAGAGCGCAATATAAACTTGTACTACATCGATATCAAATTCGTCACCATTTTATATCCGCATTCTCCTAATCGGAGCAGATGTTTCCCTCGTACTTCAAATTGCCTCTCAGTCTGGGGCGTGGCCACTGCCTGCTATCTCAGCCGAGTGCAAAAGGGGAATTTTGCAGACTGGGTCATCTCGTGGGTGCAGAGCTGGGACCACATTTCATTGGTCCTGGAGTGGTTGGCCTGGCCCGACGTGATTTGACCTTGTAACACACCGTGACCGCTGACTGCATTGGCGTCTTCAAGGCCCTAAATGGCCCCATGCCCCGGTGGCGCTTCAGTCGCTGTCCGTCCATCGCACCGCTGACAGCTCTCCCGTCGCTGCCCTCCCACCGCACCGCTGCTAGTTGGCGCTCCCGTCGCCGCCCTCCCATCGCACTGCTGACAGCGCTCCCATCACTGCTCTCCCATCGCACCGCTGATAGTTAGCGCTTCGGTCGCCGCCCTCCCGTCGCGCCGCTGCTAGTTAGCGGCGACCGGTCGCCGCCCTCCCATGGCACCGCTGATAGTTAGCGCTCCGGTCGCCGCCCTCCCATAGCACCGCTGATAGCTAGCGCTCCGGTCGCCGCCCTCCCATGGCACCGCTGCTAGTTAGCGCTCCGGTCGCCGCCCTCCCATGGCACCGTTGATAGTTAGCGCTTCGGTCGCCGCCCTCCCATGGCACCGCTGATAGCTAGCGCTCCGGTCGCCGCCCTCCCATGGCACCGCTGCTAGTTAGCGCTCCGGTCGCCGCCCTCCCATGGCACCGTTGATAGTTAGCGCTTCGGTCGCCGCCCTCCCATGGCACCGCTGATAGCTAGCGCTCCGGTCGCCGCCCTCCCATGGCACCGCTGATAGTTCGCGCCCCGGTCACCGCCCTCCCATGGCACCGCTGATAGCTAGCGCTCCGGTCGCCGCCCTCCCATCGCACCGCTACCAGTCAACGCTCCGGTCGCTGCTCTCCCATCGCACCGATGCTAGTTAGTGCTCCGGTCGTTGCCCTCCCATCGTACCGCTGACGATCCGGTCGCTACCCTTCCATCGCACCGCTGCTAGCTAGCGCTCCGGTCGCTGCCCTCCCATGGCACAGCTACCAGTCAGCGCGTCACGATGTCGGTGGTGGCTGACACTTTGTGACTGCCCACTTTCCAGCTTAGACAGACGGAAAGGCTGTTTGAAAGACTTATGTTGCATGCAAAGCGTTGATGTAGTGTGCGGCCTCGTCTTGGAACCGCCTTCTGCCGGCTAGTGTGGCTTACCGGAGCTCTGCTGTGTTCATGTCCAGACTCTGCCATTGTGACGCAGAGGACAACGTGCTTTTGAGCGCTCTTTTTACGCTATTGGTGTTTTTATCATTGCCACATTTTCGTTTTGCCGTACAACATGAAGCCCAATACCTTGCATCAAACACTAAGTCACGGCTATTGAACGATTCGTAATAAACACATGATAATGATGGTCATCATCGTGCCAAACCCAGGCAGGAGTTCTTGTGACAATCTGCGATCACACGGTGTGATTTGAAACCTCGTGAACAGATGACGAGAATCGGCAGAAGTCCCCTGGCAGAGTCTCCGTGCAGTCGCCCGTCGTACCACTGCCCAAATGCATGCTTTACGTAACACAAAACGTGATTCGTGTTGGAAACTTGCACTCAACGTATCATATTGGTTAAAGGCCAAATGACGTCCGTGATGGTGGTGACAGATGGTGTCCAGGTGATGCTACGAATCTTCCTCACGTACGCGAGGTACGAATGATTTGATAACAATATTTGTCTTGGCCTTGATCACTACATGACCAAGCAGGTGGCGGTATTGGCGTGATGTTTCTATGACGTCATGCATGCTTGGGTGACCTAGAAATGATGTACGCTGTATAACAGGCTTCACAAGCTCACGGGCGTCAAGCTCAGAAACAAGAGGGTTCCAAGTCTTAAGAAAGGCATGGCTGTGCACTGCAACGAATGATCTGTAGAATAACTATTTCAGTTCAAAACGACATACGATGTGGAACATTCCCTTTAAGAGGCGGCTGCAACTGCCTTGGCTAACACCAATCTGTTACCTCCTTCAGTGCATTAGTATGGATGCGCAAGTGGCTTGAATGGAACAACTTGGTTATGGTACGATATGCGTGGCACGTAAGTGGCTTTTAATATAACGGCACATGTCTGATAACCCCCGCACCATCGTCTTGTTAAATCTTAATGACATTTAAATCCTTATAAAAGAAAATACACTAGAGTGAAGGCAATTGATGACCGCCTGTTCCTCAGAACACCTGTGCAGTCTCAATATATCTCAATACACACTCGTGTGTCGTCTCTCACCTCATGAGACGACGCATCGTTGGTAATGATGGAACACAGCGAGCCGCAGGGAAGTGTGAAGGGTGAGATACGGGGCCGCCCGGCCCTGGTGACAGGTGCGCCGCTACTCCTCTCGTGTCTTGTTGTGTTCAGCCCGTGAAAAGGCGCAGCGGAAGTTTGGGTGGCCAAGAGTGGTACCTGGGAACGTACCGGGAAGTACCTCGGTCAGGTACGTGATAGACCATCCCGTGTGCCTTGGGCATGAACAGGGGTCATAATGCAGGGATAAGAGCATCACTGAACAACAACAATGATTTGTTCAGTTGTGATTTCCGACGATGGGAAGATATGGCGAACTAGCGGAGAAGAGACGCCCCCAGCGGCGAGCGGTCGGGGGCTGGAACCGGCAGCCGACGGAGCGTCAGCTGGAACCGCCGCTGCCCGGGCGGTCTGCGCGGCGGGACCGGCCGACGCGGCGCCGAGGGCAGTGGGCATGCGCGCCTGATCAGCGGCGGTCGCTCGGACCAGCGCCAGTCGCCAGCCGACGCCGCCAAGGGGGGGTCGCGGTGGCGCCCGCTGCACGAGGCAGGTGAGAGGCCCGGCACGCTGGTACCGCGGGCCCACCGAGCTCGCCCGCCGACGCCGCCGGGGAGGCGACGCGGTGGCGTCCGCTGCGCGAAGCAGGTAAGAGGTCCGGCACGCTGGTTCCGCAGGCCCACCGAGCTCGCCCGCCGACGCCGCCAGGGAGGTGCCGCGTTGGTGCCCGCTGCGCGAGGCAGGTAAGAGGCCCGGCACGCTGGTTCTGCGGGCTCACCGAGCTCGCGCGTCGTCGGCTGCGGCGGCGTGGGTCGCACCTGGGGCATCGGACACTCACTCAGACGTAAGGGCAGCTCCACCTACCTTTTATAAGAGGAGATAGCAGGTGAAAGGTCTCCCTGGGCATATCTGAGCTTCCTTTCCTATATGCCATCCAGTTTTCCGCTGATTCGCTCTTTCGCTCGAAGGGACCTCTCATGTATGCAAAATCGAATGAAACCCTTTGGCTTCATCTGGCATATGGTCCTCCCAATCGAGACCTGCCCTTAGACTGGTGGAGCTTTCTGTGTTTCCATGTGTTCCCAATGCGCCTAGTTGGATCTGATTTCGATAATCTGGGGGCTCCTGTAAACCAAAGGACTTGATGCCGGCTATCCTGGGCATCATGTGCCTGAGATATTTTCTCCCCTTGGCATATTGGTTGCATGTGACGGGTCCTGAAGGGTCACCATAGCATGTGACGGGTCCTGAAGGGTCACCAGAGGGTGTGACGGGTCCTGAAAGGTCACCAGAGCATGTTTTAGAAATGTGTCCCGAAGGTGGGACGTTGTCCTTCAGGGGAGTGGCATGGGACCTCTGGAACAACTAAAAAAATATGATCTGGTGATCCATCGGGACTTGTGATTAACATGCGTAGTACTGGGGAGCGAAAGTGCATCGCACACAGGGTTTTATGCGCAAGTCAGGGTTGGTTATGTTTGTAAGTTGTTGGCGCATTTGCGAGCAATATTGTGCGTATAAATCATACAGCATTAATAGCCTTATTCCTCGTAGAATAACCCGGCGAATGGAGAGATACGTGCATTGATGTTTCGACTACATGCCTTTATCAACACAAATAACCGTACCACATTAAAATTGGCTTCCGATCCTATTCAATTTTTCAGTTTTTTTTTAAGCGGTGAGCCACAGTGTGTAGGTCACCAACATTCGGGGGATTAAACAAGGAACAATTACCAGTCATCACTACGATGCAGTTTGTATCCAACTAAGAATCAAAGTACGAGAAGAATACGTCTACATGCGTGTGAATTCAGGCAGACAGCCATCACGCACCATTCAGTGAACATTAATTAAACATTAAAAGATCATCCTCAACATCAGACAGGTTAACGAATCATCACTACATGGAAGCGATTTCAAGAACCAGGCATCGCGCACCACGCATCAACTAGGCATGGAAACGATTTCAATAAAACAGGCATCACGCCTCTCGCGTCAGGCATCACTTACACATGTAAACGATTTTAAGCTAGTAGCATCACACATCAACGTACTAATAACATTTGCGTAATCGGGCATAGTGAACGCTGTACATAAAGGTCTGTTTGCCGACCTCTTATCAGAACGAATTCACTTACTTTCCTGTCTGAATGGCTCTGCTCTGTAGATGACTTTGAGCTATAATAGGAGCATAGGGTCCGTGCCATTCTGGATTTCAATCTGAGCATGTTTTGTCAAAAAATGGCCGTCGAAAGGGGTACGCTCTACCTTAAAACGCTGCTTTTACGCTCTACGCTCTACTGACTCTGGCAGTGTTTTAAGCTTCTCGCAGGCATTCATTTTATCTCAACCCAATGAGGACGCATGGACTCTCCGACGTGGACTACGTCCCTCCCACGATTTTTACACGGAATACACTTAATTTCGTAAAGCGCGTTCTTTGCGTGCAAACTCCTCGAAACCCACACTTGCACAAATGACGTCTATTACCCTCCCCCGGCACGTAAGTTTTGAGATAGCGGATTTTACCGGAGGCTTACTGTAGCTCTTCCAAGCTACGCATACGCACAGTTTTGATTTTAAAGGATATGTTTGAATTCTCCAAAGCAAGTCTTCAACTACGAAAGGTTTGCCCGACAGGGCGTGTACCTAATTCGCGCCCGACAGGGCGTGTACCGGTTTTCTACCACCCATCTCCCCGCGCGCTCCACAATTTTTTTATCTCTTCCATCATTCTATCTAGGTGTCGAGGAGAACATGCATTGCCACACTGCTAAGCCCATATGCTGTTTATGCTCTTGCTTTCCTTTTCCCTACTTGATGAATTGTTTGAGCCCTATAGAACATGCTACGAATTATATTGCGCCTATTTGAAATGGGGTACGCAGATTCGCAGTGCATAATTATGCAGAATTATGAGAGGATAGTTGCAGAGGCTTGATAAAGAGCTCTGTTTCTAATGTTGCGCGATTGTTCCTCCTTTCTACTGCCAACAGTGTGATTAAATATGGGGCCCCTATCCGTTCCATGTATGCTCCATCGTGGAGGCTATATTGGAATACTGATTGTTCATGGATTCCAAAAATCCTTGAGGGCGCGCTGTCCGTGCGTCAAACTCCAGCATAATCGGCATAATGTATCTGGCTGAGGAAGCTGATTTTAATGGGCTGGCGGCCAGGGCATTTGTTTCAGATTGTTCTAACAATATTCTCGCCAGTGGAGGCGTGCATTCGACAAAAGTTGGACATAGGAATGGGGAACCCATGCACCGAAAACTGTGCAATAAAATGTTATTCCTCTGCTTTATAATTCGTGTGCAGACATATGGCTTCTTTTCTTCTGGCATTTATTACAAACCATTGCTCGTCCATGTGATATCAAACTGTGGCTTAGAAAACAAAAGTGTGCTAATTCTATGTGTAAAATGCCCACCAATACCACAATGCCATCAACAATATCCATCAAAAGCTCTGCGGGTCGGTGCCTCGTCGGCCGGCAGGTTCAAAAACGGCAGCGCATGCCACTGGGAACCATATGTTAACACCCGCCCGGGTGGCCGGCTAGAAACCCTTCGCTCGGGTGGAAGTGAGGGTCAATTTTACCTCCCCCCCCTGAGATCTCGGAAACTAAGCTAGCTAGAGACACCAAATTTACAGAGTGTATTGACCTGTACGTGAACTCACTTAGGTCAAAGTTTCAAGCTCCTAGGTGATGACCTTCGGATCAAAAAGGTCAAGCAAGTTCAAGTTTCAGGTTGGTCTCCAAAGTGCCCACAGAACCTAGACAACCGTTTCTGAGCAAAAAGTCACATGCCCTTCCAAGGTCAGGGACCTTGTTTGACTTTTTGAAGGTCAAGGTGACCAAAATCATGCAAGATTGCTTTGAGTTTTGCATTTGACTAAGCGACAAATATTACGCCAGGCATTATGCTCCTAAAGCAAAATGTTGACCTGGGACATTTTGGGTCAATGGCCTATTTTGACCTCGTCCATGGAAGATGTATAATGCGGCTCCTGCTATCAGTAAATTCGAAATGAGCACCAAATACTATCCCATACAGCAAGCCCTGGAGTAACAAAACAGGTTGTTTTTGGCCTTGGTGTGACCTTCATACCTGACCTTAGGTCAATGTAATTTGCTCATTCTACTGTTATGTTGCCTAAGAAAGCATCTTAGAGATGCATGGCTTCGTCTAACACTCCGTTGTTGGATCAGATTGAAGGATTCCCTAGAAGCTGGCTTCGCTAAAACCATGGCCCGACTTTGACCTGTCATAGGTCAGCGACCTTACAAGTTATATCCTAAGTGTTAATGCCAAACAATCCGCTACCCAACTGTCCACAGCTATGCAAAGTTTGGCACGGCTACACCGCGCCGGTCGGAAACCATTCTGGAAAAATCTTCGGGGGGTCAATTTGGCCCCCCCACCCGAGCGCGTGTTAATTGCGCGGTGTAAGCCCTTGGGCATGTTTGCTTCTCTTGATTTGGCAGAAAGTACGTCGCAGGTGCCGAATGATCTTTCGAAGCTTCTCTCAGCTTCGCTCTGTAAACAGAACGCGATGTACAAACAATACCACGTTGCCACGACCTTTACTCAGCAGACGGCGAAGACGCCAATTTTTGTATCACATACGTAATATGAGAAGGAAACTAGGCCTGTCAAGTTTTCTTATCCAAAACGTGTTGAACGAGGAAGATCACAGTGAGCGCTTCCCAACTTTCGACAAATCCTACACTCATGACATATGTCGACTTATGCGCATCATCTTTGCCCAAAACACTTTCACAATGGATGTACCGCGATGTCGCGCTCGCCTCTCATTGTGCCAGGGTTGGGACCAAAGCTGCCGGATTACTGCATCTCAGCAAACTTAGCAAAAGGGGATGCCAAATGAATCGGAAACGTAACACAACCTCCCGAACAATAAATTGTTCAGCATTTGTGGGAGGCCCATCTCTATGAGCGATGAAGCAATGATGTAGAAACATTACGCGAGCCGTCAGTGTCAGCAGGTTATTGCTAGAGGCCATCAGTCTGTCAATATCTGGTCTGGTCCAGGGCGTTAGTGGGGCTGTGCTACCGTCCTTGGTTATGTCTGTCATTGCTTAGCGGACGGCGACACACTTTTGACAGAACTGAAACCATATCATGACTCCTTCCCTAATCCGCCGTCTTTATTAACACGGATAATTTGGGGAGGACGGGGGGGGGGGGGCGTGACGAACAACCCACCGCCGTTTCTAAACTAAAATGGATGGAGCCTCGTGGGAAAAAAATGAGGAGGATTGGTCTGCACGAAATCTCGTGATTGGTAATAAACCGGTTGTCCCTTGGTTAAAAATTGGCCCATTAGGTCAAGTCAAATGTCAAATGTCCCTGAAATTAACGCCTTTTCAGCTTTACATGCCGATATATACAGGACAATGTCTTGTGATGACAAGAAACTTTCACACGCGTCTTCATGGCCTAATCAGGGGTTAAAAGGCTTCTGATTCATCGGATATGATCGGTGACAACAACTGACAGTTTTGTGAACCAACTGGTGGCAA